TGTGTGTGTGTGTGTGTGTGTGTGTGTGCCTGTAAGTGAATAATGACAGGCTGTGGCTCCACTGAGGGGATTGATAATAGCCTGGGCTGTGGGCCCCGAGGGAGAGCAGGTAGACACTCTGCAGTCCTGACCCTGCACTCTCACATTACTGAGTGCCTTGCACTCAGCCGCCCAGCTCTGCTCCACAATCCCCGCCCAAAAACCACCACATGCACCACCCCCTCCACCCACCTTCACTCCACCATGACATCACTGCAGGACCCTCTTCCCACTGAGTCCCTTATTTTGCTTCTTTTTTTTAATCTCTTCTTCCATAGTTTATTTCTTTTACTTATCCTGCTATTTCTCTCCCAGCCGGAGCAGAACTGACAATCAGTCATTGTCCTGTTAATCCTCTATAACTCTCTTCTGGACCCCTCAGGGTGCCCACAACCTCAGCCCAAGCCCCCTCTGGACTAGCTTGCTCTAGTCTACAAATCCTGCAGTCTGCACACACACTAAGCTCCACTGTCCCGATCCCCACAGTCCCAACTCCAACTAAAGCACCAGGGACTTAAACACAAGGGGCTTGGCTGATGTCCAAGAGGAGCAAGAGAGGGAGAGAGAGGTGCAGTCAGTCCACTGACTCATATCCTTCCCTTCTGACTCCGCTCCAGCAATGATGTAATGCTCTTGGCTTCTCGCCCTCCCCCCACCCTGTGCCTGCCTACCCCCAGATTTTGTCCCTCCCTCCTCTCCTCCTCTCGCTTTTCCCTCTCCTTCCCTCCTCGACTCATCCAACATCGCTGCACTCACTCCTTCGCTGGGTGAAGTCACTGCGAGCTCTGGGTAGACACAGCAGCGAAAAACTTTTGAACGTAACCAAAACAGCCCAGGGCCAAGTTCCAGACGTTGGAGAGACGGTGGTGCAGTCGCCATGGGAACAGAGGTAAACAGAGGGAGAAACAAGGGCCTCAAACAGCTTACAGCTGCCTGGCTCTCTGAGTAAACACTACACAGGACCTGCCCCTGATTTACTGCCTTTAATCACTGGTGGGAGGAGAGTGCCATGGGGTTTGGACTGAGGAAATAATACGAATCTGATCAAATAAATCAGCCCTAATGGGTTACGACACAGGCTGACTTTTATTAGCGGGCTAGAGGAGGGATTGATGCTGGGAGGGTGCAGCGC